TCCCTTCCAGAGGGATCAGGGCCTCTCAAGCCACTTGCAAAAAGGGCATGGAGGCAGCATCGTCTGACCTCCTCTAACTTCATGAGAGGGAGACAGAATCACCATCAGCAGCCCAAGGCTTATTCTTATGAAGCTAGACATACCACCACCCTCCAAACTAACCAATTCTGGTACCAATCATCCCTTCCACAGCATTCACTACTTCTTTGCAATGTTTGGCAATTCATTGCAATGGACACAGAACTCACAGAAAATATTGGTGATTATGGGGCTTATTAGGCAAGCAACAGGCTACAATTCAAGTTCAGGAACGCTTTCAGGATACAATTCTTCAATCAGGACAGTCTCCTCTCTGTTATGCCCTCAGGCATGCCTCTCTGGCCCTTAGCATCTTGGCCTGGCCTCTGCCCTGCTTGGGCAAGGGTTGCAAAGCTCTTTTAGCTCTGCCAATAGATGCACCTAGGTGCACCTCACTCTACCAGCAAGCCTCCTGCACAAAGGCACTCAGCTTTCTTGCTCTGTTGGCCGGCAAGTTCACTGCTTTGTCTCATGCCTTTGGTGTCTCAGCTGACTGTCTCTGCTGGTCATCTCTGCAGGTCATCTCTGCCAAGGAGGCCCAGTGCAGGGATCTCAGGTCCAAGGATGTGCTCCATTCCACCTCTTCTCTCTTGATGGTGGTGAGATCCTCCCATTGTGCCTCTATACAAGGGCTCATTTTAAGCCTAACTGAATGAAAAAAACTAACCAATCACCACATTAGGGTTCCATATACCTTATTTGCATGGCTCCACCCCCATAAGTGTACCATGTACCTTTACTTACATGACTTACAAGTTATTCGATCCCCTTGGTGGACCACAAGCATCTTATATTTGCATAGTTCCACCCAGCCATCAGGGTGGGAGTCACAAAGACCATGGCTAAAAGACCCACATCAAGTAATTACTGCACCACACCACTGCTTCCAGGAATGGGAGCCAACACCCACTTCCTTCCTTCTAGACCTGACCTCTTTGGGCAATTATGATATAAGTCTCCCACACTATAAACTAGTCTACACTGCTCCTTCATTGTTCATCACAGCTGGGTCATGCCTTCCCAGCCAGTCTGTAAGTCCTCTAGGACCAGACCTGTGTCATGCTGCAGGGCACAAAGTATAGGGTTGGCATTTGGTGAAGGGAAGGACAGTAAATTGAATTTCCTATACCAAAAGGCAAATTCACTGCCATCAAGTTGGTTTGGATGAGGCAGATTGTCTCATCTTTCTTCCACAGAGCAGCTGGTAGGTTTGAACCACCAAACTTTCAGTTAACAGGCAAGTGCCTTAACCACTATGCCACCAGAACTCCTTCAGTTTCTTATGTTGTTGTTGTTAAGTGCCGTCGAGTCGTTTCCGACTCATAGCGACCCCATGCACAGCAGAACGAAACACTGCCCGATCCCGCGCCAGCCCCACAATCCCTGCTATACTTGAGCCCATCATCGCAGCCACCGTATCAATCCATCTCCTTGAAGGCCTCCCCCTCTTTCATCGACCCTCCACCCTACCAAGCATGACATCCTTCTCCAGGGAATGGTCCCTTCTTACAACATGACCAAAATAGGTGAGACAAAGTCTGGCCATTCTTGCTTCCAAGGAGCATTCTGGCTGCACTTCCTCCAGGACAGATCTGTTAGTTCTTTCAGCAGTCTACAGTACTTTCAGCATTCTTCGCCAGCATCACAACTCAAAAGCATCAACTCTTCTTCGGTCTTCCTTATTCATTGTCCAGCTCTCACATGCATACCAGGTGATTGGAAATATCATGGCTTGTGTCAGGCGCACCTTAGTCCTCAAGGAGATATCCTTGCTCCTCAGCACTTGAAACAGTTCCTTCGCAGTTGACTTTCCCAATGCTACACGTCGTCTAATGTCCTGACTGCTGCTTCCATTGGCATCGATTGTAGAACAAAGCAACGTGAATTCCTTGACAACCTCAATCTTCTCTCCATTTATTGTGATGCTGCTCATTGGTCCAGTTGTGAGGATTTTTGTTTTCTTTATGTTGAGATGTAATCCATACTGCAGATTGTATTCTTCAACCCTCATCAGTAGGTGCCTTAAGTCATCCTCACTTTCAGCAAGCAAAGTTGTATCGTCTGCATATCTCAGGTTGTTAATGATTCTTCCTCCAATCCTGATACCACGTTTTTCTTCATATAGTCCAGCTTCTCGGATTATTTGCTCAGCATATAGATTGAATAAGTGTGGAGACAGAATACAACCCTGACACACTCCCTTCTTGATTTTAAACCATGTAGTGTCCCCTTGTTCTGTTCGAACGACAGCCTCCTGGTCAAGGTACAGATTCCTCATGAGTACAATTAAGTGCTCGGGAATTCCCATTCTTCTCAATGTTATCCATAATTTGTCATGATCCACACAATCAAATGCCTTTGCATAGTCAATAAAACACAATTAAACATCTTTCTGGTATTCCCTGCCTTGAGCCAAGATCCATTTGACAACAGCTATGATATCCCTTGTTCCACGTCCTCTTCTGAATGCGGCTTGAACCTCTGGAAGTTCTCTGTCAATACACTGCTGCAAACGTTTCTTATAGATCTGTTTAAATGCCATTTGCAAGGTCCTACTGTAGGACTCCTGGCTCCCTCAGCACAGGGACATCTCTCGCTGGGAGGCTTCCCCCCAGGTTGCTGAACCTACTGGAGACTACTCTTCCTGAGACTTGTGAGGCCAGGCCCAGGCTGGGCAGGTTTAACAGGGCAGGTATGAACCGGAGGGGACAGTGATGACCTCTAGAAATGCTGGACCAGATGGCTAACTCTTAACTCCAACCCATTGACCCTTTCCCTAGGAGCAGTCATATAAGGCTAACAAAACAAAACAACCCAAACCCATTGCCATCAAATCTGTTCTGACTCATAGTGTCCCTACAGGGCACAGTAGAATGGCCCCATGGGGTTTCTAAGGCTGTAATCTTTACAGAAGCAGACTGCCACATCTTTTATCCTGTACAGTAGGTGGTAGGTTTGAACTGACAATCTCTTGTGTAGCAACTGAGCACTTAATCACTGTACCACCAGAACTCCTCATATAGACATTAAAAAAAAAAAAAAAAACCTAAACTCATTGCTGTGGAGGCTATTTTGATTCATAGTGACCCTATAGACAGAGTAGAATTATTCCATAGGGTTTCCAAGGCTATAAATCTTTATGGAAGCATAGTGTGACATCTCCCATGGAGTGGGTGGTCGGTTCGAACAGCCAACCTTTTGGTTAGCAGGTGAGCACTTTAACCACTGTACCACCAGGCCTCAGCAGAACTCCTCATACAGACACAGTAGTTATCAAATGCACATTTAGAAATACATGGACACACAGACTCAGATTCAGAGAACTGCGCACATGTGTTCAAAATTTACTCACGCATGTACTTCCCCACCACATGCCACACACACAGCCAAGTTTGAGTCCAAGACTTAATTTCAAAGGGAAAAAAACCTGGTTCTTCCATTTAATAGCTGGGTGTCATAAAGTATAAATTACTTAATCCCTTTGTGTCTTAATTTCCTTATCTGTATAAAGGAGGGTAATAATGGCATTCACCTCACTGAGTTGTTATGAAGATTAAATGAGATTAAATGGTAAAGAGCTTAAAGTAGTGGCCAACACTTAGGACTGCTAACCAGAAGGCTGGTGGTTCAAACCCACCAGCCAGCCACTCCTTGGAAGGAAGATTGGGTAATCTACTCTCCTAGTGATACCACCGCCTGGGAAACCCAAGAACGGGTCCCTACCAGTTGGATCTGACTCCACCGCAGTGAGTTTGGTTTTTTTCAGAGTTTTATTGTTGAAGGAGCCCTGATGATATAGTGGTTAAGGCATTTGGCTACTAACCTAAAAGGTCAGTGGTTTGAACCTACCAGCCACTCCGCAAAAAGAAGACGAGGCAATCTGCTTCCACAGAGATTTACAGCCTTGGAAACCCAATGAGGTGGAATTGATGATGGCCGGGAGTTTATCACTTATTATTATATGCACCCATGGAGAGAAACACTTACATATTCACACGTATTTCCTAAGCTTTCTCCCATACTACTATTGTCAGTAGGTTGTGGGCCTGGCAGGACCACAAGGCTGGAATTCCTCCACCCCTCTCAGCCTCTGTTTTCTCTTCTGTAAAATGGGGAGCTTACTTACCAGGCAGGGCTGTTGTGAGGACTAAAGAGGCCAGCCTCCTAGTCTAGGCCCTGACCCACAGAAGCCTCTCTACACTTTCTCTGCGGCTATCTGTAATGATGACAAACAGGTCCAATAACAAGTGCAAGGTCGGTTCTGGGGAGGCACACAGCCTCCACCTATATTGCACCAAGGCAATGGCCAGGCAGCTCTCCCTCCGACCCCCTCCAGATGGCAGCTGGGCCCGGTAAGGACAGAACCCTAGGCCACAGCACACCAAGCCTGTCCCCTCTTTTGGAGTCGGGTATGGTGGCACCCTGACATGAGGCTGGGGGCAGGGCTGGCCGGGTGGCTGTGGGTGGAAGGAAAAGAGGAAAAGCGGCGCAGGGGAGCAGGGGAAATTGCCCTGCGGTTGGCTCAGGCGCCCACGACACTGTATTTATAGAGAGCTCCCTCCAGCATTCAACTCCTTGCTGTCGAGTTAACCCTTTGCAGGCCGCGGTGCCAAAGAGAACACTCAACCGCGATCAGCCAGCCAGATTCTAGCTCTGCCTCTGCCGCCAGCAGCTTGGGTGGTGGTGGGTGGAGTCAATGACCAGTCACTAGTCCTCTCCAGCGGACAATAAACTTGGGATTTTGGAAGTGTGGGAATGGGTGGGGGATGGGCAGGTATTAGACCAGTGTCCCCTACCCGGAGCACCCGGTCTTCTCAGCGTGGGTCTGGACTGGGGTCGGGGGCGGGGTCCAGGCCTGGTGCCCTGCCCAGCAGGCGGGCTTAGGCCTTTGCCCCAAACCGCCGCCGCGGGGCCAATCCGGCCTGTGGGGCGCAGCCCCGCAGTCTTTCCGGGCCCGCGGCTTCCTCCAGCCGCCCCGCCTCTCGGACTCCTGGGCCGCCCCGGGCCACCATTGAGGCCCGGCCTCGCGGCGGCGGCGGCGACTGGATTGCACTCCGCTGCGTCCCAGAGTCCCAGGAGTCCGCGTGGCGCGGTGAGTGCTTGCGTGGCGCTGCCGGCGGCGGGGTGGGGGCCGCCTTTGTCTGCAGCGGTGCCTGGCCGGGGGCCGTGGAGCCTGAGACCCGCGCTCCCAGCCCCGGGCGGCATTTCTGCTACAGGGTTGCTGTAACCGGGAGCGACGCGCCCTCTCGCGCCCACGGGCACCCACACCCCAGCCCTCTCCCCGGGTGCGAGGCTGGCCTCCGAGCACGTGAGTACGGTGAGCTCTCAGGACCGAATATCTGGCTCTAGGGCCCTGAGGGAGCTGGGGCAGCGAGGATCCTACCCCGCCCAAACCTAGCCACCCCTTCTCTCCTGAAGAGAGGAGCCTGGGGCACGGTCGGTCGTGCAGGCACCGGGGAAGCTACTGGAGGAGGCTGGGCGGGTGATTGGGACTACCGAGGCCCTGGGTGTAGAGGGGGAATCGAGGCAGATCTGTCACCGTGTTTGCTGATTCTGAAAAGCTTAACGAAGCTGCTAGCTGGGGCCAGGAGGGAAGTAGAGCCTCCAGGACCCTGCTGAGGGAAGCACCCTGAAGTTAATAGACTACCGGCCAGTGAGGCGGGGGCTCACTCAATCTGGCCCTGGAGAAGATTGAGGGGGCTTCCACGGGCAGAAGGGGGAATGGAGGGGTCAGATTCTTAGAAGGGCAGATAGGGACAGCGGGCCAGAGGGGAGGGAGGGAGTAGGTGTGTGTGTGGGGGGGCAGGTGGAGGACGAGTTACATCAGGGAATGAGGGGGGAGCAGGAATAGGGCAGTTTTGGCTTGGGAAGTCTCCAGGAGATGATGGATGAGGTAGGGTGGGGAGGACAAGGGGAGCACAGCTGAAGAAGAGAGTTGTTGTTGTTGTTGTTGTTATGTGCCGTCGAGAGAGTAGGGCTACTCATGTAGGGAAGGTAGGGTGAGGTCATGCTAGAGGGAAGGGCATTGAATTCCAGTGTCCCACCGCCCTAAGTTGCTATGGTTTAGTGGCTACCAGTGAACTCCCTGAAAAGGGGATTTATTTCTAAACAAAACCTGCCCTAATGAGAAATGCATGATGGATGACTCAGATAAGGGATCGATTTTTGAGGGGAAAGATTAAGAAAATGGCAAAGCAAAGAATATGGGGTAGTGGGGGGGGGGTGTTGTTTTGACTTGAGAAAAACTGCCTTCAAATTGGATGTCGGCAATTATAGATGAATCTGATTTTTTCATTAAATTAGAGCCCCTCTGTCCTTTTATTATAAGCATGTGTTTAGCAGTTTCTGTATTAGGAAGTAATGTAGCTGGTTTTTGTCTTTAAGAGAGTTCTTTATTTAGTTCAGCTTCTCTCTAATTCCCTCTGGCCACCCAGAATGCCCTAGGAAATCTGATGCAGTGCACCCTTCCTTGTAGTGTGGGGGCCGGCAAATAGGTGGGGTACTTTTGGAGGCCCAGGGAAATTGAAGTCTAATCTTGAAATTGAAGTCTAAACATGTCAGGCTGGGTTGGGCAGATCTGAGTGCCAGGGAGGGGTGGAGGGCTATGGGGCTGTGGGGTATGAGTGGTGGCTCATATTTCCAGCTTGTTTTAGGAAGGAGAGTATTTTGGGTGAGTACATTTTCCTGATATTAGAATTCCCCGGCTTAAGCACTAACATTTTTTATGTTAACTCTTGAGCATGGAAACCTTTCTTCCCAATATTACGTCCATCGCACTCTGCTTAAATGGAATGTACTGATGTCTATGAAATTTTTCTTCATGACTTTTTGGGTCAGCACCGTGAACATCAGGTTTCACAATAAGGGGTCATATGGCAAGGGTGACTCTTGAGGGGGTGAACTTTTGTCCCTGCACTAATGCAGCATCCGTAATACTTTTATTGGTCCCATGATTGATCTTTGGAGTTGTGTCTTCTTAATGACATTGGGGTCCCTGAGTGGTGTAAATGGTTAATGCACTCAGCTGCTAAATAAAAGTTTGGAGGTTCGAGTGCAGCCAGGGAGGTACCTTGGGAAAAAGGGCAGATGATCTACTTGGAAAGTTAGCCATTGAAAACACTATGGAGGACAGTCCTGCTGTCACACACATGGGGTTGTTGTGAGTCAGAATTGACTCAATGGCCAAAAAGAAGGATATCACTCATGATTTCTCTTGCCTGCCTACAGTAAGCTTTCTAGTATATGGCCTTTAGACCATATGCTAGAGAAATCAGCCCATCCAGCTTGTTGGTGTTCATGCAAGCCTAAGGATGGGAAAGGTGTTGGGATTTGAGGGCCTGGTTTTCCTTCCTGCTCCTGGCCCTCTCACAGTTCTGCCCATGTTCCGAATAGAAGCAGGTTAGCTGAATATCTGAGATGCCCTGACTGCTAGGTTGGGACACTTCCATGTTTATGGAAAGGACAGTTACATGTATCCATTCAAAGTAGTTCTCTGGAGAGGCTGTGTCCTTATTCTAGTGAGGTGGACTTCTGAACCTTTCTGAGGGAATCCCCCATCTTCAACCATTGGCCTTCTCTGGAGAAGTCCATGTTCATTCTTTGGAATAGAATTTGGGTTTGTCACTGAATGGGCAGCACTGTTCAGGGTCAGAGTTGCAATGGGATCACAGAGATGTGAGCTGAGATTTCCCAGTGCCCAAAGAGACTCCTGGGAAATGTAGAAAAAGCATCTGGCTTGTTGCCAGCTGGTTCTTGGTAGGACATCAGGAGTTTGGGTTGTGTGCCAAAAAAGGACCCTAATCAAAGCAGCCTCTGGAATTATGATCACACAGGGGCTGCTGAGCCTGTGGACCTGAGTCATGGGATCAAGGGAGTGGAAGAAGGGCAGGGAGAATGATGTCACGGCCCATGAGCTTATCCTCTGAGTGGGTGGAGACTTCTCATTGCTGTCCTTTTCCCACACCCCCAGGGCAGGAGTGGTAGAGAGGGCCACTAGCAAGGAGGAGAGGACCCCTCAAAACATTAAACATAGAATTATCATGTTGTTAAGGAGCCCTGGTGGTACAGTATTTAAGCACTCAGCTGCTAACCGAAAGATGTGGCAGTCTGCTTCCATAAAGATTACAGGTCTGGAAACCCTATGGGACAGTTCTACTGTGCCATATAAGGTTGCTATGAGTCTGAATCAACTCGACGGCAGTGGGTTTGGTTTTTGGGTTTTTTCTTGTTGACTCAGAATAAGAGAGCATCTGGGAGAGGATCACATGTGCTGTTATATACCCCTTCCCCTCATCCCCAGTTCTGTTGCCTCTGCAGTATGATGTTCTAGATGAAAGCATTGAGTTTTCAGGTTTGGGAGTGGGGCTGTGCGGGATACTGAATAAACATCATCTCCTTTAAGCATCATAGCAGTCCTGTGAGGTTGGGTATCCTTAGCATCATTGTAAAAAAAAAAATAAACAGTTGCGTTTGAGTTGATTCTGACTCCTGGGAACCTCATGTGTGTCAGAGCAGAGCTGTGCTCCATAGGGTTTTCAATGGCTGATTTTTTGGAAGCAGATTGCCAGGATTTTCTTCTGAGGCACCTCTAGATAAACTTGAACTTCCAACCTTTCAGTTAGCATCTAAGCCTGTTAACCATTTACACCACCCAAGGACTCCAAACTGAGGCCCAGAATGGGCAAGCAGCAAGCCCAAAGACACACAGCTGGCAAATAGTGGAGCTAGGATACAAGCCCAGGGCCGTCTGCCTCCAGAGCTGAGACTTTCTACCACTCTGGGTTAAGCACAAGTTTTACTCCTCATTCTGGAGCCTAGCAAGATGAGCCAGGGGTCCCCCAGGGAGGAAAAGAGGACTCATGTGGGGGCCTGGGAGAGGGCAAGCCTGACCTGAGTGACCCAGAACTTGCAGCCCAGTTGAGACTGTTGCTGAGAGTTCTTATTGCACTGATGCCTCCAGCAGTTCCTCCTACACCCTTCAATTCTGACCAGTGCTCCCAGCTAGCTGTCCCCATTATCCCTGTCAATCTCTTTGTGGTCCAGGGAATGGATACCTCCTCCACACCCTTAATGCCTTTGGGCATGTGGTCATCCACTCGGCATAGAGAGTATGTTGGAGGGAAACCCTCTGGGAGTAGAGAATGAGAGGCATTTTTTGGTTGGAGAACCGTAGAGCAGGGAGAGATACTATGTCTGAGGCACAGGGGTCCCAGGTCACCCTTCAAGTCAACCTAGCTCTTAGAAGCTGGTGCGCCCCAGTGATGGGTGCTAGCGGGAGGGTCTGTACTGAGGGATATGGCAACATTAGGAACAGTGGGAGCTGGAGCCCATAATGCTTGTTGCTGGAGCTAGGCTTCTGGGAGGGAGGAAGGGGAGAGGACCACTAGACATGGGCTAGACACAGAGATGGAGTCCTTCATTTGCAGCCTGGAGCTAGAGTGGAGATGGTGCTAGTCTATGGAGATGGGATTATGGGTGGAAAGGGGGACACAGAAGGAGTAATGGTCCCAGGGACTTAGATATATAGTCCAACAGAGGAGATCTGGGTGTGTGTGGGGGGTGGTTTTATTGCAGAGAGTCCCAAGAGGCCACCCCCATGCCCAAGGCAATAATAACAGCAATGGTAATAATGTTTTGGTATCACTTTTTTGGTGTAGGAGTGCTGGTGGCATAGTGCCTAAGGCATTTGACTGCTAACCAGAAGGCTGGTGGTTCAAATCCACCAGCCACTCCTTGGAAGGAAGACTGGGCAATCTACTTCCGAAGAGATACCACTTCAGAAACCCAAGAAGGGGTCGCTATGAGTTGGTATTGATTCAATGGCAGTGAGTTTGTTTTGTTTTGTCTTGGTGTTAGGTACTTTCCTAAGTTCTCTAGCCCTAGGGGTGAGGATAGTTATCCATGTTTTAGAGCTGTGGGATTGAGTAGCAAAGAAGTTAAGTCATTTACTCTTGGTCAGGCATGTTGACAAGGTGGCATGAGGATTCCATTTGACTGGTGAGGAATCGAGGCCTGGGGGCATTAGTGAGCTGCCTCCTAGTCACCTCTAAAGATGACTGAGTGTGGGCTCTGGGAGCAGCCTGCCTCCCCCTCTGGCCTCAAATTCTAGTCTATACAATTGTCATGGAGATGGGAACTGGACCAGGTGAACTGGTCCAGTTTGAAGTGGCCTTCAAACTCTAAGGGCTGGAGGAGACTACTGCATTCCTGAGAAAGGTTCCTGGGGGATGGGAGGTTGGGAGGTGGGATTTTAAGGCTTGTTTAGGTGGGCATCTAGCAAGACTGGGCAGATGTTGATGGAATGCAGATGCATGCTGCAGGCCTGCCAATGTTTGACCCCAGGAGCCTCCCTCTGACCTGGTGTCATGCTCTCTCATCCCTTCCTCTCTCTATTCCCCTCCTTCCCAGCCCTCTTTGGGGTGCATCTCCTCTGAGCTCTGTGTGGCTTTCCCTCTTTTCAGGGCTCTGTGCCTTCACTGATGTGTATGTGTGTGTGTGTGTTTGTGCACACATATGTGTGCACAGATCTACACACACCTCTGGTTCCAAGATAGTTGCAGTTGCCCTATCAAATGGCTGCTGGGTGTTCAGAAGATGCATGCTTAATTTGGGGTGGCCCCCTAGCCATACCAAAAAACAAACTCACTGCCATCGAGTTTATTCTGACTCATAATGACCTCCATTGGTTTTCTGAGGTGGTAAATCTTTATGGAAGTATATTGCTCCATCTTCATTCCACAGAGTGGCTGGTGGGTTTGAACCACCAACCTTCTGGTTAATAGTCAAGCCTTAGGCACCGTGCTACCAAAGGTAGGCCAACTGCTGCTACAAAACTCTCCACTGTTCTTGCAGACCCACTGACGCAGGCTGTTATGGATTCTCCGTGGTTTTGCCTCCTCCAGATTCTGATACTCTGACCTCAGTGTGGAGAGAAGGGATATGGTGGGGATGGGAAGGCCAGAGCTCAGCTCTGTGCTGTTGTCCTTGTTTCTTTGTTCCTAAAGCCACTGGGGAAGCAAGTGGAGGATGCCAAAAAGACCTTGGCCCAATCTACCAGGCTGGCCCTGATGACACACTGCCGTCCTGACTCACACAGAAATCACTTTGAGAGGAAGAATTTATTTTTTCTCTTGGGTGGGATCACGGGGCTGAGGAGTAGCCCAAACTAACTCAGATTATCAGAAAAAGGAAAAGCCAAGAGTGAAACCATTCCCAAGGACCCTCCATTCCTCTTTCCCCAGGCCTTTCCCATTTATAGAGCCCCTAGCAGTACTCATTAGGTCAGTTAAGATATATTTACTCTGTTGAGTCTTATAATCAACCCATAAGAGTCAAAACAAACAAACTCATTGCCATTGAGTTGATTCTAACTCATTGAGACCCTATAGGACAAAGTAGAACTGTCCCCTAGGGTTTCCAAGGCTATAATGTTTATGGAAGGAGCTCTGGTGGCATAGTGCCTAAGGCATTTGCCTGCTAACCAGAAGGCTGGTGGTTCAAACCTACCAACCACTCCTCAGAAGGAAGATTGGGCAAACTACTTCCATAGGGATACCACCTCGGAAACCCAAGGAGGGGTTGCTATGAGTCGGATCCGACTCAGTGGCAGTGAGTTTGGGGTTTTTTTTTTTTGGTAATCTTTATGGAAGCAGATTGCCACATCTCTCTCCTGGGGAGCAGCTGGTGGGTTTGAACCGATGACCTTTTGGGTAGCAGCTGAGTGTCTCACCACTGTGCCACCAGGGCTCCTTTCCTATAAGGGTAGAGTTTATCATCCCTACTTTTCAAATGAGAAAACTAAGGCTCAGAGAGGGTATTTCTCCCAAGTCACCTGACTAGGAGGTGGCAGTGTCTAAATTTGAACTTGCCTCTCCGACTCCAGTTACTTCTTCCATGAAGCATCTCATGACTACATGAGTCCAGCATGTAATCATGGTCACAGCATAGAGTCATAGCCAGGCCCCTCTTTTATATAAATTATTATTTATTTGTTTTTTTAAATGTGATTTGGGTGAAGATTTACAGAACAAATTCACTTTCTGTACAGCAGTTCACATAACACTTTGTCTCATGACATTGACCACAATGTACCACAATGCAACAGCTCCCCTTCCAATAATTATCTCTTCCCTGTGTCCATCCCTCCATGCCCTTCTGCCCCCTGAGCTGTCTCCCAGTGCATAAGCAGCCCTTCTTTCTCCCATGATTGTTCTCTCCAAGAAGTGTATCTACCTCAGGTAAATGTTCAACTCATATGCCTGTCTTTTGCTTGGCTGGAAGCCACAGGTATGGGTTCAATTCCAGACCTGATGGGCAGCTAGGGGCCATAGTCTCAATGGTTCTACCAGGCTCTATTGGACCAGCAAACCTGGTCCGCCCCCCCCCTTTTTTTTTTCTCCAAATGATTTTGAGTTTTGTCCACATTGTTCTCCGTCTCTATCCAGGATCTCCTACATAGAGCCCCTTCCAAGTGGTTCACATTGGTAGCCAGGCACCATCTAGTTCTTCTGGTCTCATACTTGTATAGGCTGCAGATTGGGTGGTGTACCAGTTGCCAGGACTGATTTTATCCATGAATGTTTGGTTTTCTTCATTCTTCTTTGCTCTGGACGAGGAGAGACCCATCGTTGAATCTAGATGACAGCTTGCAAGCTTTTAAGATCCTAGTCGCTATTTGCCAAAGTAGGAGGTGCAGGCCCCTCCTTTGATGGCTGAGGAGACAAAGACAGAGAAGGCAAGAGATCTGCTGTGGGGAACCTAGCAAGTTAGTGCTGGAGCCTAGTCTAAAACCCACATCATCTCTTCGATGTTGCTGTTGGGTTTTTCTTGTTAGTTGCCAAGAATTAGATGCTTGTCAAAATTAGGAGCTCTGGTGGCATAATGCCTAAGGCTAACCAGAAGGTTGGTGGTTCAAACCCACCTTCTACTCTGTCGAAGGAAGACTGGGCAATCTACTCCTGTAAAGATTTAACGCCTCAGAAACCCAAAGGGGGTCACTATGAGTTGGAATCAAGTCAATGGCAGTGAGTTTGGTTTTTTTGGATGTCAAAATTTCAGAAGTGTATCAAGAAAGTGTAAGTAGACTCCTACTCTCATTCCTGTGCCCCAAGGATAGGTTCACTATCAGGTTTTCAGGTCCTTTTCCAGCTTACAAACATCCATCTGTCCATCTCTCTATCTAGCAGTGCACACATGCATATTCATTTATTCATTCATCAGGTAATGCATTGAGCCCCATTTCTTGCTGAAATTAGAGATACATTGGCAAATAAAGGAGAGATGTATCCTGATCAGGGAGCTTCTAGTCTGACATGAATGAACAAACTGAGCGTGGTCAATAACAGGGGCCTCCTTAGAGTGTCAGACCTCTGACCCAGCTTTTCTGCTAAGGTGACTCTGAGGATAAAAATGTTACTTATGTCATCCAGGAAGAAGGAACTGTTTTGCAAAGACCTTGAAAGGTAGGAAAGAGGGTCCCATGTTGTAGGAACTAGAAGAGGCCCACTATAGGGACCAAAGCCAAAACCAAAACTACTGCCATTGAGTTTATGATTCATATTGACTCTATAGACACAGTAGAACTGCCCCATAGGCTGTAAATCTTTACAAGAGGCAGACTGCCTCATCTTTCTCGCATAGAGTTGTTGTTGTTGTTGTTATGTGCCGTCGAGTCAAACCCGACTCATAGCGACCCCTCCTTGGGTTTCCGAGGCAGTATCACTACGGAAGTAGGAT